TTAGCATTTAACGATAGTAATAAGGGTTCTATTATTATGTGTGATGAATCTTATGTGATCCGATGTTCTTGTACACCGCTTTTGCCAAAGCGAGGGAACATTTAATCTCATCAGTCTGTCAGTCTGTCTGTCTGTCACAAAACAAAACTTTAAATTTGACAAAACTTTTCAATGAGAAAAGATAGGGATTTAATACTAAAGATGTATATTACCTGTGACAAAACCTTTTTAAATACACTATGATTATTACCTCTGACCTTGATATTGAAGTTTGACCTGCTCTTCAAAAACTTTAATCTGGGCCATAACTTTTGGATGAGACCATTTATGGTTTCACCTTTCACTTAAATATTACATATGACAAGACCTTTCTTAAAACACTATACTTTTTTTACCCCTGGCCTTGATTATCAATAGTGACCAACGTTTCATAAATGTTATTTTTTATTATAACTATTGATAGAGGAAAGATAGGCGTTTCATATTTTTTAAACCCGCACGTTTTACGGAAGAAAATGCAGCTAAAACAATCAGCCTTTTCCTTAAACTTCCATATGCTAATAAGGGTCCTCCATCATTTAAAATTTAACTGTGGCGCAAGACGAACGCGAAGTGCTAATATTTGCGGTCATTTCGCGACTGAATTCGCGAAAAATAAACAAAATAAATGAGTTTAAAACAGAGACACTGTGATTAAGTAGTTTTAAACAAAACTGACATTTATTATCAGTACCCATGATGAAACAAATATTTCTTTATACAATTTGATATTAACTGTAACGTGGTTATTAGAGGACAGAGGAAATTCAGGTAGGTCACACAATTATGATCACGCCATCATCATTCTATAAAGTCATAGGCAATTTCCAATTGTTGAAATGAAAATTGAAGTATATTCAAAGTTGTAGATTTAAAAACACTATTTAACAAGCAATTTAAAGAAATGAAATAATATTTCATGGATGTATTGCTAATTAATTTCAACATTTCAAAAACACATACGTACGGTGTTTTGACTTGCAGTTCCAAATAATATAATTTTAGAGATATGCTTATCTTTAGCATGTTTAGGACCTGTAAATTAGTTGACATTTAAAAATTGCAATTGTGACTATCCTGAAGTGTGCAAAAATGGCTTGATATGTCCAGTGAGACCAAGAAGATAATTGATTGTATAAACCTAACTATAGCCCTAAGTAGAGTTAATAACATGAAACAGTTTAGCATTTGAAACGGAAAAAACGGAGCCTAATAAAGGAATTGGCGCAGTTAATTTAAGTTATATTCTTAATCACAAAAAGGTCCAGTCTTGTATTCCACCATATTTCAAGTTAAAGACTACACCTTGTATTTTCTGCATATTTACATCGTCCATTGCTTGCAAACTTTTCAAATACAAGAAAACTTTACATGGCCAGGATACCGAGTATCTGAAACATAATCCTCCATCGTGTTCATGTTCTTCTTCGCCATATAACTATAGTCCTGCTGGACACGTCATTACAGGTGCCGTAAATATAGTTAATAATGAAGATCTTAGATCACTTATTTTAAAAGGTCCTAAATATAGCTATAGGAAACCCCGATCCTTCAACTGGCGTCGGAATTCGGTAAATATTACGGATTCTGTTACGCCAGGCGATGGGCCAGATTTGAAAAAGAAGACGTTGGCACCTTGTCAGAATTGATTTTAATGCATCAGATCCATGTTAAGGCCACGTATTAAAATATTGAGGGGCAATATGAAAACCACCTATCCTTCTGTGTTCAATAATCCAGAAGTGAAAAAAGAATTAGATAGATAACGTACTGGTCCCTGCCGACATTCTGATTGCACACACAAGTACTCTTAAGTTGACATCAAAGAGATGCTTGAGTTTCTGATTGGCAATATCTATGTGTTGACTAGGTATTCCAACAATCTATTGGAATTCCCATGGGTACCAAATGGCTCCGTTATAAGCAGACCTATTTTTATCTTCATATGAAGCAGAATTTGTGCGAAATCTTAACCGTAAAAGGAGGAAACATTTGCTGTGGCCTTCAACTCGACTTTAGATACTAGTATATCGATGACGTATTGTCAACTAACAATGGTAATTTCCCATTCCTACGTCGATACGATATATCCAAATGAGCTAAAGATAAAAGATACCACAGAGTCTGACACATCTGTTTCATACTTCGATATTTTACTTCAAAAGGACGTCTAAAAGGACAATCTAACAACCATGCTATATGATAAACGTGATGACTTTAACTTTTCTATAGTCAACTTCCCTTACTTATGCAGCAGTATACCATCGTCACCTGCATACGGAGTATATATATCTCAGTTGATTCGATACGTAAGAACATTCTCTACGTATGAATAATTTCTAAAACGAGGTAAATTATTGACAGGCAGGTTTATTAAACAAAAATATCGGCAGACTCGTTTAAAGTCATCATTTCGTAAGTTTTACGAACGATACAATGACCTTGTATGCAGATACAATTTTATTATTGAATCAAACGCTGACTGACGTTTTTTATACTAATTGTAAGTCCATTATTTATACACTGAATTGACAACGGATTTTCCTATTATAAATGTAACCTGATCATGTGGTCACCGGTCAGCAGGGGATGCTAACTCCTCCATGGCACCGGATCCCAGCTCTGATGTTTCGGAGGTCCGTGTTTCCTTTGATTCTATTTTGTATTGTTTTATACATGGACTTCGATATTGAATACTGAATTATCTCCATATCCTTCTTGACAAAATATTTTCAAGCATGCTATGTTACAACGCGAAATGTAATACATGTAACAACGCGAAATGTAACAAACCTGGATTATAACATTTTGCGTTATTACATTTTGCGTCGAAATCAACGCAGAATGTAATAACGCAAAATGTAACAACACATTTTGGAGAATTATTACATTTCGCCTTATTACACTTTGCGTCGAGATCAACGCAAAATGTAATAACGGAAAATGTAATAACACGATTTTTGGATTATAACATTTTGCGTTGTTACATTTTGCGTCGAGATTAAGCAAAAGGCAGGAACGCAAAATGTAATAACATATTTTTTTAACAGATTGAGTACAATTTCCAATAGTCTAGTGGCTTATGAAAGAAAATAAAACAAAAGAAATAAATAGATTAATTTCTTACAATTAATGATTTTCAAAATATATTGATTTACAGTGTAATTAGTTACATGTATTCTAAATCAGTTTAATAAATGCATTCATATAAAATGTGTTGCAAATTAGAAACGTGCATCTGTGGACAAGGTTGTTTGGGGTATTGACCTGTGTGCTTTTGCTTTTTTATAGACAACTGCATTGAATTAAAAAAAAATATTCATTTGTACTAGCAGGTGTAAATGTAAAGCGGGAAGGGGTTTATTGACAATAATGATACCATACTGTTCCATGCAAATCTCCAGCATTGCAGACAAGCAAAATCAAATTCTCTTTCTCTCTCTCTCTCTCTCTTTCTTTCCATCCTATAATAAAACGGATTGTTTCTGCATGTCCACAGTAAGACAATAATAAACATACGAAGTAAACACCCCGCCCTATCCCTGCCCCTCCTATCCTCGTTGACACACACATACTCTTCTATTCATTTGTTAACCAATGTTTACGTGCCGAAAATGCATATCAAAAGCTTTTATTTTTTGTTAATTAAATATGTTTTTTTTGGTTAGAAATTTAATAAGACTATCAAAAATATGCCAATCAAAGCTAAATTAATTCTTTATAATTAAGGACGTTGTATTCAATATAACTAAAATCAGAGTCAGAAAAACGATACAATTTGATGTATTTATGTCCGGGAAAAGCCCTAACGTTGATCTCATTGTTAAAGTTCAAAATATTTTGACAGCGCATTTCCCATGTTGGTTACATGTATATATTTGAATCAATTATATGATCTTTTTTGTTCACCGCAATGAAAAATATTAATTATATTTTGTCTAATTACATTTCGACGCAAAATGTAATAATCTAAAAATTGTGTTATTTCATTTTGCGTTGATCTCGACGCAAAATTTAATAACGCAAAATGTAATAATCCAGGTTTATTACATTTTGCGTTGTTATTACATTTCGCGTTGTAACAATGCTATAATTTCTGACCCTCTCACCACCATGCTTAATCTGATTTTTCAAAAACAAAAAACTTGTTCCCGTACTTTTGGCTCTTATTGAATTATGTAAAAAATAAAGTATTTTCATGGAACTCAGTTTAAAATCACACGAAAAGTTGTCCAGATACCTATATTAAATTCGACATTATTTTAAAGAGCCGAGGAACATATAAATTACCGTTTTCTAAAAGACTGTACACAATCTGGATACTTTTTCTCTGTCTGATATGGAAAAAAAATACCATATTCATGACTTGTTTTCTTAATTTTTCATTGCATATGAGTTTCAAATGTGATTTTTTTTTTCATATTTGTTTACCTGTTAATCATACCCCGAAATACCTTATTTGACGATTCTTTGCTTATTAAGCATCATTTTAGAAAATTATTTATTAAATTTGATGTACTTGTAGGCACCTTTCATTAATTTACTATATAAAATTGATTTAACAATATATTTTTGTGAGATACTTAGGCCCCCCTTAAAGAAGGAAGGTCAAATTTCTTTGCTGCTGCCTGTTGGTCAGTCTGTCCAACTCCGATTATTTACAGTTTCTGTTCATTTTCTTTGTAGAGGTTGCACATATTGTAATGATATTCAGTATACAGACTTATCATAAAAATATCTAGTCATGAGAAACTCTTGTTTTGGGTATGGTTGAGCCATTTTTGACAGAGTTATATCCCTTATACTGAGATAAATGGGATTAAATCCAATCATTTGGGAAGGGGGCATATGTGTTCTACAAACATTTATTTCTTTTGGCGTGGAATGATAGGAAGTGTAATGTCTTTCCATTTTTCATCACTATTTCGACATGCTTACATGTGATTTTGTTCTTTATTTACAGGAGGATGAAAGCAATCAAGACCCAGCCTTACATGAACAGACTAGAAGCAGAGTGATAGAGGTTAATTATTATTATTTCATGTATGAAGTATGCAGGAAAATTTTCACCCAAGTTTCAGTGTCACCCCTTTTCCCCTTTGCAAAGAAATCAGTATTATTTCTGAAACGGAAACATGACTGAACAACATGAACAAGTTTAAAACAATGTAATTATTTTCACACGGTGAAATAGCGGGGAAAAAAAGTCCATAAATAATGCAATTATACCCTACCCTTCACATACAGTGTATATAATTGTTTCGGTGAAGATTTAAGAGAATAAAGGCATTGTGAAATAAAAAGGGAGAAGATTTAATTTGAGTGACCAAGGTTCCTCTAGATGTAATCTGGATTGGCTAGGAATTACTAGTGGTGGGAATATACAATTAATTAAATTGAATAAACTGCAATATTATATATAGAGAGAGAGTACATGTATTACTTCTCCACATCCATAAGCACTCTGTAGCAGAACATGTTTCCCTGATTGTATTTTAAGAACAAAAAGATTTTCCGATTCAAGTTTCTTTTCAGTTTAGTAAAATTAATAAATTTATAGATTAATTATAGATCAAAGTCCATAAAAATTTGGTTTTAATCCTTCTACAAACATTGTAGTGTCTACAATCTCAAGTACCACTGGGCCAATTTTAACAAAACTTGGTACAAGGCATCCCTTTGTAAAAGGGGAACTTAAATCATTAAATTTGAAGGCCTTGACCACTTAAAAAGAAAGCCACTTGACACAAAAGCTGGAATTTATGTAGAATCATCCTGGGGTAGTGTACAGATTCAAATACAATTCATGACCCCCAGGGGCAGGACAGGGTCACTATCTTTAGGAGTTACATTCTTTAAAAATCTTCTTCTCAAGAATGACAATGCAATAATTCATCATATTTATATGGGAGCATGCTCAGGTAGTGTAAATTCAAGTTTGTTCAAATCATGTCCCCCCGGGGTAGGGCGGGGGCAAAATGGCCGACCAAAGTTTTATATAGAAATATAAAGGAAAATTCTTTAAATATCTTCTTCTCAAAAATGACAAAGCCATAATTCATCATATTTATATGGAAGCATGTTCAGGTAGTGTAGATTCAAGTTTGTTCAAATCATGACCCCCGGGGATAGGGCGGGGCCAAAATGGCCGACTTAAGTTTTACATAGAAATATATAGGAAAATTCTTTAAAAATCTTCTCAAGAATGACAAAGCCATAATTCATCATATTTATATGGAAGCATGCTCAGGTAGTGTAGATTCAAGTTTGTTCAAATCATGACCCCCAGGGTAGGGCGGGGCCAAAATGGCCAACTAAATTTTTTATAGATATATATAGGAAAATTCTTAAAAAATCATTTTCTAAAAAATAGCAAATCCATGATTGGTCATGGGACTACTTCTGGATTAAAACTTTACAATAAAAAGCCATTTTCTACTTTTTCCTACCCGTAGTGCTCAGGTGAGCGATGTGGCCCATGGGCCTCTTGTTCAATTGGTGGCACTGTAGCTCTCCCGTCTGTTAATATATATTTTTTGGGAGAGCTACAGTTCTGCAGCTAGTATTTCTGGTAATTCCTAATGTCCTAATATCAGTATTTCCCACCATTTTGGCCAACCCTTGGTGTATTTACACAGAAGTACATTTATTTTATAAAGTAGTCCAGAGAAATTTCTAAGTTCATAAAATTTTATAAGATTGTGTTAACATTTCAGGGTTTAAAAGGCAGGAAGGTTACAGTGTTGTATGAGGGATCAGCTGCTGGAAGAGCCTACTGTTGCTTCCCCCCGCCGTGAGCCGTGCTACCTTAAGGAGCTTACAACAGATGAGAGCGAGGTTGTCGAACTGCAGATGGGGTACTTTAAGGACAACAAGATCTGCACCTCCTCACAAACAGAGAAAGTGGTTGTAATCCAGGATGAGACCGAGATAACAGACCTTCTGGCCAAGCAGAATGAAGCAAAGAAGAGGAAGACTGTGTCAACCCAAACAGACTCTCTTACTTCTTGTGAAGCAAGTGTGCAGAAGAATCCTATGGTGGAGAGCTGTCTTCAGTTCATGGCAAACTAGACGAGATTCTCGGTATTCTACATGCAACTTCTGCTGACCTTTCCTTTAAGACCAACAACATTGCCAATGTAAGCGACATCGTTAGATGGGTAACAGAAAACACATCGACTCCCAAGCCAGGGCTACCATCAGTCACAATTGTACCTGTGGAATACTCCATCCTGGAAATTCCAGCACGTTACCACCCAAGTGCAACACCTGTGATAGAAGTAATTCAGGAGGAAGAGAAAAGACCTTCACCTGTGAATGTTCGATGTTTAACACCACTCAGATCACCACTGAGATCCTCTCCACTTGTAACCTGCAAATCTTAACCACTTAGATCATCACCTCGCCTTGCCTGCCGCTCATCTCCTCTGAGGTGCCCTACGTCACCTCCAGCCAGCAGCTCCTCACCATCCTTACTATCGCCATCTTCAGCCCGCCACTCTTCGCCAGCAAGTTCTCTGCCAGCTCGTCGTGCCTCTCCATTAACAGCAAAGAAGACTCTCTTTGCCGAGGAAAACGTTGATCATGAGGGATCAGAAGATGGTGTTTCCACAGTCCAGGAAGAAGCTGATAGGGTAAACAACAGAAAGAAGAGCAAAGACGATCAGGTTTTGACAGTGCCCTGTAGCTCAACTGCAACAATCCTCCAAATCAAAGATGTCACCGATGTAGTCCCAGGAGATTTTGAATTCAGAATACGACGAGATATCCTTGCTGATGTGAAGTCAACAGCCTGCTCTGATGGGAACTTCATGTGGATTCTGACCAGGAAGTTATTCCTAGAGGATGAACTTGTCGAGAGGAACTTCTTTGGAAGGAAATTGAGGAAACCCATATCTCCCCGAAGGAAGAGGGCACTAACACATGCTTACATTGCGTCATGTGGAACATCCTACAAGGAATTCACCAAGGCAGTGAACAGCATCAATAACGGCATTCGATCTCTAGGACGTTGATGATTATGATGTTACTGTATTTACTACATTTAGGTTAGTCCACGAAAAGTTCCATGTTAGAGTTCCAAAGAGGTTGTTTGTTTTAATACTACCACAATTATGTCAATGATTGAAAGTGATACTTATGATTATGCTTTGCAGAATATACTTTTGTACTTCTTGTAACATTATATGGAGTCATAAGATGTAAATACATATAAATTTACGTAATGTCATGTTTAACTATATATTTATTTATTTGAGAAAAAAAGAAGATAAAAAGTTTTATCTCATTGCAATTTGTCTTTTTGTATAATGTGGCAATAAAAATTAATGATATTATTGCTGGTTTGCATCATTTAGAGATTTTTTTTAAAATCAGATATGAGGTAGTTCAGAGGCCTAGTTGCTATACAATATCTGTGTAGACCAATCTGTATGATAGACTCCTTATCCCTAGATAGATTGCAATCAGATGTACATGTATGCATGTAACATTCAAGATTGTTACAGTAGCTTTTTGTAGCCCCTAAAACATTGCATAGGCAGATAACAAAACTGTATAATTTGTTTGATGTATTCTGACCAACCCTATAAAATGTCCCTAGAGAAATATGGGTCAAAGTACATCAAATGATACAGTGTATTTTAAATGACAGCCTTACAACATTTGTAACAACAAGTTGTTGGTACAAATTTCACATTCCTGTTGTCGGCGTAACAATCGTTTTTCCCACTTGGTCCTTGGTACATTACATTTTAATATTTTAAATCTTCAAACGTAAATCGGACAAATTTGATCTGTACCTGTATTGCAACATAATAAACATATTCATACAGAATTTATTTCAGTCTAAAGATATTGACCAATAAAGTTGGTAAGATTATAGAGGGAAAACAGTGCCTTATACTGACTAACCCCGCAAAGGGGAATAACTGTCGATTCTGTAAAAGTCATCTATACTGTACACTGTTCAGGGTATATGCAGGCTGATGCAGGCTGGTGACTGTTAAAATGATGATTCAAGTGGCATATTGTCTTCATCTACAACCAACATCTGATGAAATCTGACCCCTTTTAAACTTGATAACAAATTTTCCCCCTTGGAAAAAGTGGGCAAATTTTAAATGGGGCAAATTCAAAGAATACTGTATACCATTAATTTCTGAAACAGAATTGTGACCGGGCAAATTTAAAATGAGGCAAAACTGTTAGCAAAAGGTGAAAATAAGCCTGTATACAGTATTTACTTCCTCTGAATATGGTCTCCTTTGTACATGTATCCTCAAAACCCCATGGCCCAACTTTGATGCTGCTAAAGCAAGTCACACATACAGAGCTCTTTATTCAGGGAAACATTATAGTGATGTGCATACCAGTAATGAAATATCTTATTAGCATGATAGAGAAAAATATTGCAACAATCGTTTTTTCTTCCATATAAGATGCTTTTTGCTTTAATTTAATATTGTACATATACTCGCCTACAAGTCGATTGTGTTTTTTTCCCCAATAATACTGAGTTGATATGGTAAATGGTGTTTTCAACAATGACAATGTACCTCTGGGTATTTTAAAAGTATCCGAAGTAAGCATGCTCAGTGGATAATTATGACAAATAATGGCACCTCTTTCAAAATTGCTTATACATGTATCAAGATTTTTGGTATTTAAAAACATTAACCAAATTCATTTGTTGGAAAGTTGTTTCATGGTACTCAGGTGACACATAAGGCTCATAGGCCTCTTGTTCTCTATCACATTTTGCTATTCCCTGCCATGAATATGGCCGAGGCATATACATGTAGTGTTTGTCATGTCTGTTTCCCGTCCTTCTGTCTGTCCTTAAGTCACACTTGGCGTTTAGCTCTGTTCAAAGCTCAGTTTCAAAGAAATTATACATAATATTTTCATCAAACTTCATATTATGCTGATAGATATTCATAAGCGCTATGCAACTGCATCCATATTTTTTTTACTTTGACTTCTCCTTTGACCTTGACCACACTTTTCTTAAATTAGTGGTTAGCTCGGTTTTTAACATACCATTCAAGATAGTTTTATCAAACTTTACATGCTGATACATACATATGAGATATTCAACTGCATCACCATTGTGACCTTGAGCTTTCTTTTGACCTTAAACTCACTAATCTTTAATTAGTCTTTAGCCTTATTTTAAAGATATCTTTCTAGATATTTTTATCAAACTTCATATGTCAATACATATTGATTAAAGATATGCAACTGCATGAACATGCCTATTGACCTTTCCTTTGACCTTGATCTCACTTTTCCTAAGTGTCAAACTTTATATGCTGATACATACTGATGTAAGCAAAAGGCAATTTAACTGTATCAAAATGTTGACCTTGACCTCTCCTTTGACCTTGCCCTCACTTATATTTAATTAGTGTTTAGCTCAGTTTTAAAGATACCATTCAAGATAAAATTTGTCAAACTTCATATGGGCAGCTGTTACATACTGATGAGAGCAATTCAACCGCATCACCATTTTTTACCTTGACCTTCCCTTTGATCATGACCTCACTTTTTTAATATCAGTTTCAAACTTCATAAGCTGATACATACTTATGTAAGCTATTTACCTGCATCAACATTTTTTCCCTTGGCCTTGTATTTTACGTTGACCTCAATTTAATCATATTGTGTTTAAGTCAGATTTAATTAAAGAATTCATTCAAGATATTTATGTCAAACTTCATATGTTGATGCATATTGATTAGAGATATGCAACTGCGTCAACATTTTTTACCCTGACCTTTCCTTTGACCTTCACCTCACTTTTCTTAAATCAGTGACAAACTTCATATGCTGATACATACTGATGTAAACAACTATGTTAACATTTTTTGAACTTGACCTTTCATTTGACCTTGACCACACTTTTATCAAATTAATTTTAAGTCAGTTTTAAAGAAACCATTTCTAAATTTATGTTAAAATTAATATGCTGACACATACTTATGAGAGCTTTTTAACTGTATCAACATATTTTACCTTGACTTTTCCTCTGACCTTTATTTAAAGTATTATGATTAAGTTTCATACGCTAATGCAAATTTTCATGTTGCTTTACTTATAGTAATATACTCTAGGTGGGGCATATATATCTATGGACATATTTCTAGTTTATATTTAGTCTGTCTGTCCATCTATAGAGTTGTAACATTTTTAATTTCTCATATACCACTTGGCAAATTTCAATGAAAGTTATGAAGTTATTTTGAAACATCTTTTGCTAGTGTACCTGTTAGATTTTAAACTTTTGCCAGCACAAACACATTTGTTCTCTTCCCTCTTGGGAAATGTTTTTCACTTTTTAATCAAAAGTGTGATTTGATTCCCTGATTAAAATGTTCAAAATTAATTTAAAAGATTTTATTTTTTTTAGATGCCAAAGAGAAAAAACTATTAATGATAGACAACGGCGTGAGAGAGACAGAGCTCGTAAGAGGTAGGAGAGACAGAAATCTGTACCTGAAGAAGCACCACAAGAAAAAGTGTCAGAGTTCTCGGTCCTTGGCAGGTCGGATGGAGCTGTCTTAGCTCCTCCCGGTAATTTTCCGGGGCATGGTTCAATGGGGTTGCCACCTAAAGAGGAAAAACCCTTGGCCAGGGTACAGGCCTCACCTAGTCTGATTGCATTCACCTGCCCCGAGGTTACCACCTCCTCGGGGAAGTCGTCCGTTTGTCCGTAACGAGGACAAGGTACCGTCCCCTCACTACCCACCATGGGTTTGTGCTCCACCGAGAGCACCTGGATCGGACATTGGGCATATGTCTTGTTCAGCAGGTCAGGCGCAGCTTGATACCTCCAGGTAGGAGGAGACCAGTGGGATATCAAAAGATGAGGGCACTTTAACGGATACTAAATCGAAAACTGAACGAATATTGAAAAGAAATTTGAACGAATACAAAATAGAACCTGAAATGAAAACAAATAGAAATGATAATGAGAACAATACGAAACATACAATTTCGAGACTGGTGATGAAGAGAATTTGAATGAAGGAAATGATCCGTGTTGGCAGAAATCACGGAAGAAAGGTAACTATTACATAAATTACTCAATCCAGGGTTCATTTCATCAGGCTCACAGTCTATGCGAAAGACATCGGACCGTCGGTCCTGACCGATGTAGAGCGCCTCTGGTCCGAAGCGTCATTTGTTTAC